TTTCATGTGGATTTTAAATTGAGAGATTTAAAATTTTGTTCGAAACATGCAAGAAATATGAAATACATAAATATATTATATATAACAAATTTAAAATTTCTTCATCTCTCACTTGAATTAATAATTCAGAAAGTGCATTTAAACATCGAATATAACCAACAATTTTGAATTCTTGCATTGTTTGTTGTTTTTATGTTTTGTTTAAACATTCCACAAACGCACTACAATAAAATGCCGTTGCGTATTGGTCAAGGTTGCAAAATTCGCTGAGTTAATTGGCCTTAAATAGTTTGGCTCAAATCGATGTTGATATATTGATAAAGTGATGCATTGCCCCAGCACTTGCCAAGAACAGAATATCAATATGAAATTTGTGCGGCAACAATGTGCGTGCGTTTTAATTACTTTTTTTAACTGCATAAATTTGCATTGATCTAAAAACTAGGTCACTGAGGGGCACGTAGATGCGAGTGTGGGCGTGGCAGTGTGCACCTCAGGCAAAAACCTCATCAATAACAGCCAGTTTAGTAGAGTGTTTTGCAGAGGTTGCCATGAGAATTACGGCTTAAGACAGGGAGTAGATGACCTTATGAAGTATGTACACATAGTTCTATACTCATATGTATCTACTATACTATATACTCATATGTATCTACTATAACTACATATGTACATTTTAGGTTGAATGCCTAATAGAATTGCTCATAGTAGCGCAGCTCAGGGTATCTAGCTAGTCCATCACTTTTAACTAATGCTCTCCCACTTTATTTCAGTTTTCTACGTCCCCTACAAATTTTGAGCACTTGTAGAACCAATTTAATCGACAATCAAAACTAATTGCCGGCCATTAAATATTAAACAAGAGCAATTTAATTGTCATAAGCGACAAAGTTGAATAAATATGCAAAGACCCATGAATTTTGTAGCGTGCACATACATCATGCAACACGCTTATATCAATTTTGTTGCCACGAATCGTCGGGGGGAATTCCACTTAATACAAAACTGTTCGAGGAACTCAAAGAAAATTGAATTCATTTCGATTGCGGGCAAATGTATCTATCAGATACAAATATATCTTCATATTAGGGCACTCAATTAATTATTGGAGAGAAACTTGAATATGGCTTAAAAGAGTTTTGATTGAGCTAAGAAATTTCAGAGATGGGTTAACAAGCCTGGCAGATACTCCTCATATATATTTATATAACTAGGTGCATAAGTTTTTGTTGTTTGACTGCTGCATGATCATTATTATTAATATATTATATATTTGACTGTTATAATGGCTTCGATGTATATACACCATTAGTTATTTATTACAGGGTATCATCGGTGTTATCTTCATTAGCGAGATTGTCGTAACTTTTAACATTAATTAGCGTCTCGTCGCTGTTCAAGATTAATTTGTGTTTACCGCTAATTAAAAAACAATCATTAATTATAAAAACATTGTTTGCCTTATGAACAATACAATAACAATAAGCTGAAACGATTACCTAAACTATAAATGGGTCCCTAATCAATATTAAAATAGGTATTATAAAACTATTTAGCTTTGGGAAATTTCGTTTATGTCTAATGTAAATTAGTTCATAAAGTGTTCAAAAGGCCACAACAAACACCGCTGCAAAGGTGAGAAATGTGTAGAAATTGGCGATAAAAACAAACGAGACGAAAACCAAACCAATGCGAATGGGAAAGCACAACGGAATTCGAGTATAAATCAAAATAGAGAAACATCAAATAAAAACGAATGTGGTTAAACTTGAAAAGTGGCGCGTGGATGATGATGAAGAAGAAGAAGAAGAAGAAGCAGCAGCAACAGGCAGCCAGCCAGTTAGCCAGGTAACCACACAGGCATCTGCCTCATTTTTTGGCCTTAACTGCCGACCATTTAACGGGTTTTTCGCTAACAGGAAGCTCTAGCAAAGTTGATCTTATCAACTGGTTTCTTGCATCTTACTTTGGTCAACGCAATGCCATTGATTGCCGCGCTCCATTTGTCTATGTGTGTGCAATAAAATTGTTTAATTTACTCGCCAGATGAGGCTTATTCATTTGCCAATTGAAATTCGCGTGATGCTGCCAATGCGGCAGCTCCCCCTAAATGAGTAGAGGCCAATGCATTGGGGATCTCTGACTGCACAATACACTGTTTTAGTTGGTGTGAGAGTAGGTGGGAGTTGTAGAGAGTGGAGAGGTGATTTTTTTTAAAGGGAATCTAAAACTGAAGAGGAGAGCTGCAGCCGCAGAGCTGGAAGAAGGTAGAGCTGGCATTCTTATACTCAGTTCAGAATATATATATATATATATGATTAACTGAGAATTGTCTTAAGGAAGTTTTGGAAGGTTCTCTGTCTGAAGCAAGAATCAAAGCGAATCACATCAGAAGCGCTCTCTCTGAACTTTATGAAAACTATGATTTATAACAGCAGCTTAAAGCTGTTCAATATGCCAGTTAATAAATTTTCCTAAGCCCATTTCTTTGACTGCTAAAAATCAGAGTTTATATTAATTTTTGTTGACCCTTTATATGACTTGATAAAAGAAAAGCCAACAACATTATAAAATTTAGTAAAATTTATATACATTTTTTAAACAACTTCTGCCAGAGCCACCCCCCATTGAAACACAATATCGAAATCCAAGATTCAAAAGTTTATTTTGCCAGTTTCAAATAACATCAACATATATACTCTTCTCACATTACAAACAGCGTATATCAACTACAACAACAAGAGACTTTCACTTTCGACCGCTTGCATTTCGTTCGAATCAGTTTCATTGTTTTTCTATTTTCTTAGTTTTAGTTAATGTTGCTGTTGTTGTTGTTGTTGTTGTTGTTGTTGTTTTTTGGGCAGGTCAGTTGCTGTTGTAGACATGGCTTAAAGCACAAATCGCCGCCTGCAAAAGAGTTTGCAATGCTTGAGCGAATTTGCGATTTGGGCTGCTTTAGATATCGGACTCATATAATTATTGTGTTTTATACATACCCTGTGCTTAAGAAATTAACCAAAAAATGGGCATTATCAAACTGATTGCACTTAGAGCTTATGTAAGCTGAGCAGAGCGAGAGCTGAAACAGTAGCTAAGTTGGCTTGAAAGTTAAGATCAGCAGAAAAGTAAATGATTTTAATAAAGGCTTATATTTGGGAAATTTTACTGATTTTTTTAATACTTAGTTCATTTTCAAAATATTTTATAGATATTTAAGAACTTTTAATTAAAACGGCATATATTTATAAAAATATATAACAATTCTTGAAATTATATTTATTATTCATTTAACATAAT